AAGCGCCAGACTGTCCTTGCAAATTTGGAACTGCCCCACTTAATAGAAACGGCCTTTGTGCACAGCTGGCATTGTAGGCTACTCTCCAAGGTTCAGGAAACAGTCCTCTGTAAAATGTGATGCACACACTCTAATATTCAGATTGAACTGTTCTGGAACAGTGTTGTAAATACAACCTAACCACTGATTTCTAGTTGTGTCCTCTTTTGGAAGCCCAAACAAAGTAGTTTCGCTTTCACAACGAAACACTCGGCGTATCCACAACATGGCGGCAGCAACAATACTACAGCATCAATAAAAATTATGCCCTCTTTCTTTGCGTATACATTTGGGTGGTATGCAAATCTTCCCACACAGTGATGTAGACATGTGGGGGCGTGTTTAAACGAGGCGTTTTAAGAAACCGGGGACGAGTCTTAACTTTTATAAAGAATATCTCTTTGGGTTTGAGACTTTAATCTTTGTAAATTTAGGGATCTTATCTATGCGCGAACAGCCTGTAACACTCCAAAGAGAAAGGAAAACTTGAAATCGCATCATTTGATGACCCCTTTAATTTGAGTTTTTTTTATTTTCATCTAATATTAATAATTTATTTAATATCAGCAAGAATGTTTATTATTATTATTATTCAGGAGTGCATGGGCCTTATGTATGCGATTCTCCGCTAAACTTCACAGACTTCAGTGAAAGAGATCGAGTGCAATAATTCTGACTAAAATATACATTTTGATAAAATATTTGTTGTTGGACAATAAATGTGCCATATGTAGAATCTTATACTTATAAGTAAGTGTATTTTATGATAACAATAACAGGAAAGTGACTATTCTAATGGGGTAATCAAAATAGAATGCAATTAATGTGCTTTTGCTTTTATTTTTTTTATTTTTTTATTTTTAGTTTAGTGAATTTAACTTCTGCTTTAAAGTCCCCATAAAATCAAAGTTTTTTGGGTGTTAGTATCAATATGTTAGTTTTAATGTTATCTATAAGCCAGTGTGTTCTAAAACTGTGACAAAATTCACATTTAGAAAATATTGCAGTTCGTCACTTCTGTCAAGATGGATCAATTATATATATTTTTTTATGTCACCTTGTACTTCAGCGTCTCATCAAATCTTCTGACCAATCAAATGCTCTCTATAATCCGAAGCGCCCGCCCCCTGCACTATAAATAGACGCTGAAGCGCTGGCTGAGATTGGTTATTGTTCACAGGACTTGCATTTTCTGTACGGTGAATGGCACGTAGTGCACTATATTCGATTAAATTAAATTCAAGTTTATTTGTATATCACTTTTCACAATACAAATCGTTGCAAAGCAACTTTACAGCAAATTAAGTTTCTACAATATTTAGTGGTAGCTTATCAGTGGTGACTGTCAGTTAATGTACATATGGCAGAAATGTACGGAAAAATCAATTAAAGACGTAATCAAACAGACGATGAACACTATTAACAGCAATTATTATATGATGCAATCAAACTTATAGCAAAATGTGGTAGTTCAATATGTTGTTTCAGGGTTGGCATCATCTGAGGTCCTCTGAGGGGATCATCTCTACTCAGGTGTTCTGGATCCAGACTGAAGCTTGTG